TGGATTCCTAACAAGCTGACAAACTTGTTTTGAACATTGCAGCATAATGTTGGATAACATGCCTATTACTTATTCACTGCTGGAGTGCAAACAGCTCAACACAATGTTTTTTAACAAGGTGATTATTACGGTGATCAAGCTCATTTCCGCAGTGATCAATAGAGGAAATACCATCTGTTTTCATAAAACAGCAATTGTGCCAGAGTTCAGGGGTTCTTCCTCAGGACGGAGATAAAAAGCATTTCCACAGACACAATGACATTATTCTCTCTCTCTGTCTGATACATCCCGTCCAGTGCCTGGAATATTTATATGCTGTGAGAGAGAAATAATGACTAGACTGCAGTGTAAACAAACTGGAGTGCGTTAACCTAGATTCATTCTTGGAGGAATGGGACAACCTGAGAAATGTTATGAAGATCTGAGATATTATTATACAGGATTTATTTAGAAGTGTAAATAGAAAAGATTCACTGATGGAACAAAAGCATAAAAAAAAAAAAAAAAAAAAAAAAAAAAAAAAAAAAAAAAAAGCTACCCTAAAGAACAGAAAGATACACATACACACAAATATATAGACAGCTATACATACACATATTAGGAAGGAAAACATACATGTGCCTGAGAATAGCAGGGATTGAATATCAGCTAAATACACAGCACTTATCACAGTGTATTTACACTTTTGGAAAATTTTCACATTTCATGTGCACTACTGCAGCTCAGCCATTCTACATCTGTATGGTTGGATTTACCTTACCAACTACACAACTACCAAAAGTGAAGGTTCTCCGTGTCCCCAACTAGTCTATCCTTTGCACATCATTATGCAGCAGGCAGTAGGGTATACTCAACAGGACTTACAGCAGGAGGAATTTTCCAACGTAGTGTAAACGTCATCATTTTGGCGGGGCAAAAGACCTTGAGAAAACATAGCCCGCCGAAATGTTGACTCTGATTAACCACTTCCCGTCCGGCCCATGTACATAAACGGCCGGACGGGAGCAGTGCCGAGGCGAGTTGCCATTTATAAACGGCCCCTGCATTAACTGCCTGTGCATGCTCCCTGGGAGCGTGCAGCACCACGATCTGGTGCCCGCTGTGTCCTCCGGACACAGTGGAACATCGATAGCTGTACAGGACCTCTGTGTGAGGTTCCGATTATATGATCACTGATTGGTCAATCACTGATCACATGAATAGTAGTATTATTATAAAGTATTTATAAAGCGCCAATAGTTCGCATAGCGCTGTACATTACAAAGGGGGACAGAACTAAACAAGATGTCACATCCTGACATTATTGCTCAATACTAGTAAAATCTGTGAATGATCACAGAGGTCACATGGTACAAGGCTATTCATACCCTGTGACAAGCTGTGACCAATCACAGCTCGTACAGCATTTCTCAATGGCTGCAAGAATGCAGCCAGAGAGAAGGAGAAATTATTGCTTTTACAGCCTTTATGGGTGTAAAAGCAATCAGTGTAAAAAAAAAAAAACTTCATCAACCCCCACAAGTAGTACAGTCTCACTATGGTGACACTGTACGGATGGGGTAACGGTATGTTAAAAAAAAACACCACCAAAAACATATAAAAAAAAATAAAATAAAAATGTAAAAAAAAGTTGAAAAAATATATATATATATATATATATATATTTTTTTTTTTTACTAAAAAGATAGCCGAATACATTTTGGCCATGATTTATGAAGAAAGATTTATTTGCAAAATTTTAAAAGAAAAACACTTTCAAAATGTTTGGACATTTTCATTTATATAGCAAAAAAAAATAAAAATCCCAGTGGTGAATAAATACCACCAAAATAAAATTGTATCTGTCTCAAAAAAATGCAAAAAAAAAAAAAATCATATGGGTACAGTGTTGAATGACCGCGCAATTGTCATTCAAAGTGTGATAGCGCTGAAAGCTGAAAATTGGCCTGGGCAGGAAGGGGGTAAAAGTGTCCGGACAGGAAGTGGTTAAACTACGTTGTTTGTCCTGTTGAGTACACCTACTGCCTGCTACATATTCTGTGTACCTTTATTCATGGATTGCACACTGGCCAATACCCCTAAAGAGCATGTGCGGTGGCCCATCTCTACACCACCCTGCTCATCAGTACATATTTATAATTTACTTTATTCTGTTCTGAGAGAGATGTGTAGTCAACAAATACTGCCATTTCCTTCTATGCATGCCAGTTCCCTGGCTGTTCTGCTGAAATAACGGTCTATGACTTTCAGAGTTAATGACACACAAGCTTTCTTTTAAAGTACTGATACTGCATACATCTGTTTCTAGGCAGCACTGGGATCCTTTCGTCTTAGTGAGAGTCTGCATTTACTGGCCTCTGGAACTACACCATCGGATACATACTGCTTTCTAAGAATAAGAGCAATTTTTGGGACTGCGAAAACATATACTGTGAGTTAGGGACCTTAGATTGCACACCCCTTCCCAAAGGTTACGGGGACTGATGTGAATGTACAATATATGTGTAAAGCGCTGTGTAAAATTGACAGCGCAATAAAAGTACCTGAAATAAATATACTGTATAGTATATTTATGGAATTTGTGGGAAAAACCAGATATACTGGAAAAACCATATGAACCATTTACTACTTGCGAGTTAGGGACCTTAGATTGTACGCCCCTTGAGGGTTAGGGACTGATGTGAATGTAAAGCGCTGCGTAAATTGACAGCGCTATATAAGTACCTGAATTAAATATACTGTATAGTACAAATTGTGATAAGGTGATTCTGTGCTGTGTGAGACGTGTAGAGTGAAATCTATAAATCTATGATTATACAGAAGCCAGTGTCAATAGTCAAACTTTCATGTGAACAGCGCATAAATTAATTGAATTCAATTTGACAATACATGAGTAATATTGCTTCACATATGTAAAGTGAATAGTAACATTCAGTCCCAATAAGGAAAATAAATTTTATTGGGACTGAATGTTACAATCATTCACTTTGCAGATGTGAATCAATATTACTCATGTATTGTCAAATTTAATGCACTTAATTTATGTGCGGTACACATTGTATTTTGTTTTTGTGTTATTGGGTCACAAATTAGGACTGCAGCGTATATTTATTTTTTTAAAGTTGCATGAATATTTGTTCCTCAGCGCAACAGCACTATATCTTATTTAATAGTCAGACTTTACACAGCTATATCCAGTGTTAGCTTTGGACACTGACAATTTACAGTTGCACCATGTATATAATTGATCTGGAACAAAAGGTGCTGCTCCTAGTAACCAGATTCCCAGTTTCATTTTCCAAATTAATGAAAAATTAAAACTGATTGGGTGTTTTATTTATTCTTAAAAATGAGAATCCTGGAAATATAATTACACTTTTTCTCCTTGTAGCCTTCCCTTTTCTATTTACATCTAAGCCTACTCTAAGCCATAAAACATATGAGCATCACATCTGTGTACCTGCATTCCCCAGGGTATCATCATTTAGCTCAAGTAACCCCTATTTGTCATTACTACATACCACTGCTCAAGCAGGCAGCAATCCACTTCTGAAACAAATACAACGTGACAAAGTTGTGATAATAATGCTGACTTCATTAGCATTGGCTTGTAAAGGCTCACTCTTGATGCCAGGGTTAAACCATGTTATCTAGACTTCCATATGCATTAAGTTAGGGGAGATTTTTAACATTCCAGTAGCTACATCTGGTATAAATAGAATGTAATAAATACCCTATGCCGACTGAACAGACAACTGACATGCCTTTTGTCACCTTTCTAATGCATTGAAAAAAAACTACTAGAATGTGCAATATAACCCTGCTTAAGTGAAATCAATCAATAAACAACTGCTGAAATTTACCATTGGAACACCAAATATGTTAAACAAGATCTCCACGTTCTTTTAAAAGGCTTACTAAACAATGGACATTACTAAAGAAATCTAGATGTGTACAACACAGGATTGTAACATATACCAGGCAAGCCAACAGACAGACTACATGCTCAGTGGGGCTAGAAGTAAATGGGGATATTCACAAAGCGCTGCATGGAACACTTCTGACAATAACCCTTGTTGGTTTATTGTAAGCATTGCCTAAACATTTAAAGCAGCACTTGAAAACATTTCATGGGTAAAAACTTTACATAAGCAATTGAATAAATCTTGATGTAGTCATTTTTATTTTTTTAATACTACTATTGCCAGTGATCAGCAGTCTGACACTAACTGCTGTCACTCTATTAATGACACTGACTGGGAAGGGGTGATCAAGGGGTTAAACGTGTGTCCAAGTATGTGTAATGTGTGTAAAGTGTACTGCTTTTACTAAACAATCTCTATGTTTCTCATCCTCTTTGCAGGGATGAGAAACATACAGATCGCTCCCTCTGTACAGAGCTCTGTGTTGTTTACCAATACAGAGCTCTGGGCTGTGATTGAACACAGCCGATCAGCAGGTCCCAGTCGTGAATCATTGGCTGGGATTTGCTGACAGGCTACACCTACTGGGATATTTTTAATCAAAAACATGTAGCAGAATACATCTTGGCCAAAATTTATGAATTAGGTTTTGTTTTTTTTTCGGATGTTTTATAGCATAAAGTAAAAATTTATTTTTTTTCAAAATTTTCGGTCTTTGTTGTTTATAAAGTATAAAATGTTTTGTTTATAGAAAATGAAATAACCCAGTGGTGATCAAATTCCACCAAAATAATGGTCCATTTGTGTGAAAAGAATTATATACATTTCATTTGGGTACAGCATTGCATGACCGCACAATTACCAGTTAAAGTAGCACAGTGCTACCATGAATCAAGCTTTTGAATTTTGTTATATTTTGAGCCTTCTTCTACAATGCAAAGTATCAACCTGTATTGTAATAAAAATGCATTATGTTGTTAAGCATAATGCTAACTTGCATATGTTTATAGTTTTTTAGAAAAGAAAGTGTCAAACATGGAGGATAAGCACAATCAGCAACTCCAGTCAATGAAAGAAGAAAAAGATAAGCTGCAAACCTTAGTACTCAGACAAAATTCCATCATTGAGGAATTAGAGAAGCAGCTGGTGACAGCATCTGCAAATAACTCTCTGCTGCAGAAACAGCAGCATGATTTGATGCAGACTGTACACAATCTACTAACATGGATGACACCGCAAACAGGTATGTGTACACAGACCCACTCTGGAAATAACCTCAGACATTCATTTTTTACAGGTTGACCCTTTAAGACTGAAGCGCTATTAAACCCAACAGCAAACATTTATTATAATGCAGCTCACCAATTCCTAGATGTGATGGCTGCATTACTTTTCTTTTTTTAGGCTCTATTTCAGTCTACTGTTTTTCAAAGAACAAGCTCTCTTCCAGATGTATCAGTTACAGTGATGAGACAAACCATTTACCACCAACAGGGGTGCTTATAATGATTAGCTTTTATTTAGGTAAAACCTTTATCCCTAATGGAAAAACTGTTTGCTGTAACTGATTATAACGTGTGAGCCGGCATCTCCAATTTGTTAAGTGTATATATATCTGCTAGTACATCTAACACACCACTCTTCCCCAACTGACAACGCTACTGTCCAAAAGGTGCCCCCTGTGCTCCTTCATCCACAGTGGGAGCATTAATACAGGTTGGGTGTGTTACTGGCAGGATCATAAGGTGAAAACAGAGGGTTAAAAAAAGCCTAAAAAAGAAAACTAATGCAGCCACCACATCTAATGATTGGTAAGCAAGAATATATTACATTTCTGTTTTGGATTTGCTACCACTTTAATGCATGAAAATGTTCAATATTTAAATTTTAGTTCTTTCCTAATGCTGAGGAAAGCCATAGTGCAAATTCAGTATGCACAGATATTGAGCTGTTTTTATGAGTATTTTTTTTCTAATGTGATTTCACACTTTTACATTTCCTGGTCTTCCATATTATTGCATGAAATGTAGATATTAGGGCATTGTTGTTAATCACCCTACTCAGATTGCATTGGGCAGCACATTGGCTAAGTGGTTAGCACTTCCGCCTGGCAGTACTAGGGTCATTGGTTCAAATCCCAACCACGGTACCACCTGCCTGGAGTTAGCACATTCTCCCTGTGACTGCGTGGGTTTCCTCCGGGTACTCGGTTTCCTCCCACACTCCAAAGACATGCTGGTAGGTTAATTGGCTCTTGTCTAAATTGGCCTTAGTATGTGTATGTATGAATGTGAGTTAGGGACTTTAGATTGTACACTCCTTGAGGGTTAGGGACTGATGTGAATGTAATACATATATATGTATGTGAAGCACTTTGTAAATTGACGGCACTATAGAAGTACCTGTAATAAATAAGCAGTAGTAAAATCACAGTCATTGTGAAGGACTGTAAAGTAGGAAGAACTAGCATACATAATGAGCTAACACAGCTTTCTGCCAAGATGTAAATATATAATGTATACCGTACTAGTCTATGTTGGTACCTGAGGTGGAATGTGGTCTGAAAGCTTGTGCTGGAGGGACACCATTTTTGCATATGATCGATATGTATTTATTTTGAATAAAAAGCCAATTGGAATTACAGGAGTGCATGTCTTCCTATATTGCAATAGCACCCACGGTTATCCATCTAGTGGCTTACCCTGCTTGGATTTGTGGAATGTTATATATTATAGAAAGAGCGTGCAAACTATGCATATATTTATTTTAGGTACTTATATAGCGCTGTCAATTTATGTAGCGCTTTACATATATATAGTACATTCACATCAGTCCCTAACCCTCAAGGGGCGAACAATCTAAGGTCCCTAAGTTACATTCATACATACATGTACTAGGGCCAATTTAGACAGGAATCAAGTAACCTAATTGCATGTCTTTGGAGTGTAGCAGGAAACCGGAGTACCCGGAGGAAACCCACAGGCACAGGGAGAACATGCAGACTCCAGGCAGGTGGTGCCGTGGATGGGATTTGAACCAATGACCCTAGTACTGCCAGGCGGAAGTGCTAACCATTTAGCCACTGTGCTGCCCTGTCCCTGCCACAAACTCACAAGCACAGCCTTTAATATAAGTAAACCTTAAAGGAGAAGTCCCCCTTTTGTAACATGTTACACCCATATTCAGGGTGTAACATGTTACAAAAGGATTAGCCCCCACTCCCCTGTTGTGACAGCTAGCAGGGGATCTTCTCCCGCTAGCTATCACAATTTTACAAATGACACTTAGTGCTCTTAATTGAGACAAGTACATACTATAGAGGGATATGCTTTATTCATTTTTCATGGCTGAGGTTTATGACGACTTATTATCTTAGACATCTTAAAACTTCTGATAATCTCCTGAATAGGCTTGGCACTTCCTAAGCTTTGGTCAGTCATGTTTAAACCAATGTGTTGCTTTATAAACAGTGTCATATTCCCTTTTAAGCTGCCAGTGCTTTGAGCTGTCATCCCAAGCTTTGACCTGCTACCATGCACCAAGTGCAGTGAGAACATATACTGCTAGTTGTATGCTTCCTGTATTGTGAGAAACACCACTTCATGTAATACACGTTAGCTCTTAGCTTTTAAAAGTCATTGACTTTTTTTTTTAAATCATCAGCTTTCCTAGTAAAGCAGTATCTGTACATTTATAAAGTTACATACAACTAAAGGTAGCATTTGCCAAGATAAAACAGCAATGTATCCTCCATGTCCACCGCCGCCCTTGTCTTATCAGGAGTGCGCTTGTACACAGTGCTTTATAGTGTGATAAATGGCTGAATGCCTACACTAACAACACAGCTATTAAACTTAAGATTTTATGACAGAAATATCATAGGAGTAATGTATTTAATGACTCTATGGCACCTATTAACAAAAGATCAAAGTTGATATGAAACATCAAATCTGTTTTGATTATCTGTATGGCTGCCCTGGACAATATCTCCATTCATTTTCATTTTACAAGCATGAAAATAATCCAGATAAATGAATTTTGGAAATTGATGTATATAAATGACCTAGCTATAAAATGTATGGTTCCTGCAAACTTTGTCAATTTTATTTTAGGATAGCAGGACAAAGAAAATGAAGCTAGTGTAGTTTTTATTTCTGCATTTCAGCAGTTTTTCACTTTCTTGCTCCATCAATCTTATATTGCATTTCAATATCCAATCACTCCATGTCAACCATGTAACAGAAACGAAGAAGAGTAATTACCAAACCTTAATAAAGATCTCTATTTGGAAAAAAAAAAAAAAAGTTCCTCTTAATCTGTAACCTCAGTGTTTCTAAGTAAACATATGTGCTATTTCTCATATGATATCCTGTAAGCAAAGGCTTTAAAGGAAAGCGCCACAGAAAAATTAAATTGTCTGGTGAAAACAAGATTTTGGATCGAGCACTTCTATTTTTCTGGAAAAATACCAAGTAAGATTAGCGTAGCACAATAACAAAATTGTTATTTCAAGTGTTCTTAAACTTTGAATCATAAACTTAAGCACATAATACTTTCCAGAGACACATGGGTATTAAATTTAGAAATTGACATGGTGCCCTGTTAGATACCAATATTTATTTAAAGCAGAAAAATAATAGAATTCATCAGATTTCCCAATGCATCTGATGCCAAAACGTTAGTGAATTTCACGTGCGCCACCTAAGCATTAATGGAGTGTGTGATTGATTTCCCCCATATTTCATAGACCTTTCATTAGAATTGCCTCATGTCATGTTTAACAACAAGTTATATTTTTTCATCAAAATCACAGCTTCCCCCCCTTTTTAATTCACTTTATCAGATGTAGACTGCTCAGCAGCTACCAGAGGGGAAGGAAAAAATTCTACCTTTGTCATGACCATCTGTGTTTTATACCATGAGTGCAGAATTTCCAGCTAACTCAGTATAACTGCATAGTTACAGGACCAATAAAAATCATCAATGCTAATATTTTTATGTACCAATAGTATTTATAAAGATGCATAGACAAAACTGACAGTATTATAGAACACCCAGATGACTCCCAGTCCAGTTATTCAGACAGCTCAAAGTGTATTAGGAAATGAAATGGTTGCACTGCAGTACGCAGAAAATGTTAGTAAAAAACTTTGCCGTAATGGGTCTTGGCTGGGTTCAAATTTCACAGAAGGTTATGGAACCCATTTTTTGGTAAAGTAAAATGACTTACATAGGAATACCAGGTAGTTTGCACAAAAATTTGTAAATGGCTATTTGCTCTCAGCTTTTAAAGATGTAACTATCTTCAACATACACATAATCACAATCAGCATATCTATAAATGACTAATTTGTCTTCTCTGGAGTGTTCTGAGCTGCTTTAACAGCTTTAAGTATGGGGACAATTTCAGGTAATGAAGGCACAATTGGTCCCCTCGCCCTCCATTAGCTTCTAAATGTTAAGGCCTACAATGGGTGAGGTTTTACTACCCTAGTAGCTAGTGGGCTCTGCTAGTACTGCACATATTCTGGCTTCCTGACATATAGTATACGGCTAGTCCCTCTCCAGGTATTGCTGCAGGGAAACAGATAATATTTTTGCTGGTCTGATATTACTTCTGTCTCTGGCTAAATATTTTCATTGGGGAGGGAGAGAATGAATAAGCGGACTTTGGTTTGTTTAAAACGATCTTCTATAACATAGGAGCTTATCAATGCACTGCACATCCTCCCAGATGAGGCAAATAAGTTATCAATCAGTGTGGCCTTGTACAGAACATATTTTCCTAGAAAAGCATCTCTTTTGTTGTTTGATTTAATAAAGCCACAATTCATTGGGAATGGACGTGCTCAAAAACAGTCTTAAGAGAAAGATATTTGCCCAACAAAGCTGAAGTTTTTATTTAAAATGTTTTCAAATTATTTTAATGGCAAGAATGCATACAAAAAAATAAATCACAGCATTAGTTATAAAACACACGAATACACCCTAATTTTTTAAAGTGATTTAAAGTGATTGTAAAGCTTCGCCTGTTATTTAATTAAAAATAACAAACATGTCATGCTTACCTACTTCGTTCCATAGTTTAGCACAGAGCAGCCCAGATCCTCCTCTTCTTGGGCCCCCTACTAGCGCTCCTGGGTCCTCCTCTTCAGCCATTGCATCCATAGACACAGACAGCGGGGCATGGTTCCACCCCCTGCTCCCCTGTCGCAGAGTTGGACAGCAGCGGGACAGAGCAGAGAAAGCTGCTGGATCACGATGGGGCTCAGTTATATATAAGGGGGGGGCAGAATCCCAGGTACAGAAGGGTTTTCACCTTAATGCTTAGAAAGCATTAGTGTAAAAAATCTTAAACCTTTAGAACCACTTTAACATATAACATTTTTAAAACAAAAATCTTTAAAGGGCATTTCCCCCACCATAAAAATAGTGGAATTCGTTTTTTTTACTTTGTGTAATTTTGAAGGGAAATGTTACACACCCCATGAGGATTGCCAACCTGCCATATCAGATATGTTGCTGACCCCCCACAATTAACCCCTAATAAGTAACATTTTCAAAATAAAAAATCTTGCAGCAATGTTGGATGTTTTTCGAAATCCTTCATTAATGTTTTTTGTTGTTTTTCTTAAAGCACCAAGATCATCATTTGTTGCTAAAGAAGAACAGTTAGCTTTTAAAGACTGTGCAGAAGCTTTTAAATCAGGAATGACATCAAATGGCATTTATACATTGACAATACAAAATACAACAGAACAAGTAAAGGTAAGCATACATATGGTTGGGAAAAAATTATTCCACAATATATAACTTGCATTTTCAAGGTATGAGTTATTTAAGAAAAAAGGCTATCAATATAATGGTCAATTGTAGGACAGCCAAAGGCAAAAAGCCAAATCATAGTATAAGGGTATCCATATTCTAAAAAAAAAATACTTGTGTGCTATGGACAAACAAGACGGAAAAATGCATGTTCAAGCTATCTTTCCGGTGGAGAATGTTTAGTAAATTTTCTTGTGAAATGTTTGGTCGAAAAATGATTGGACCTCAAAAGATAACACATGCAATCAAAGCTTAAAGTAGTATTACACCCAAAAACAAACAAATCAATATACTACAGCTACAATCCTTAAATATGGTGGCTACATTTCTTTCCTTTTTTAGTTTTTTTTTGTCCTTATTTTTACCTGGTAATTCAGGCAATAGTAAACATCTTGTTTTAGGATTTCTACACTCCACTGGAGAAACCTTAGGAGAGTAGCACTGTCAATTTGGGGAGAGGGTAGTATTCAATGCACTAGCAGATTTAAGTAGACTTATCTAAAGTTTTCTTACATGAATAAATAAAAGCTGGCTATTAAAAAAAAAAAAAAAAAAAAAAAAAAAAAAAAAAAAGAACAGATTCCCCCATCCATACACTCGATGTGGATGGGGATCTCCCTCACTGTCGGAATACACAGATCAACGCTGCAGTTCCTGATCGAGCAGCTTTTATCTGATGGCCAATTGAACGGAAGTCTGTAGACCAACTTTTGTTCAATTACAGTGGCCATACACAGATCAAAATTTGGCTGGTCCCCGCTGAACCATTCGAACTTCAATTCATCTATGGCCACCTCTACCCTTACTTTTGCTGGACAGCTTGGTCTGTTAAAGAAAGTTGAAAAAAAAACAGCCTTACTGCCTGAAAAACAAGTGCAAATAAAAAGGGATACTAATGCAGTCACCACACATTTATAGACCAGTAAGCTGCAACATATAACATTTTAGTTTTTGAGTTTAATACAGCTTTAAAATAAATGTGTCATAAAAAAACTGCTGCAGGTATGAACTACAGTCACACAAAGGTGCTTGCGGCATTCTCTTTCACCCTGCTTTTCCAGCTGAATCTCTGGTCATTCTTGCAGGCAAAACTCCAAAACTTCTGGACAGTTTTGGAGTTTTCTGCTTACTTTCTACCCCTACACATTCCTATTGGTCCATCACTACCACAGACAGCCTCAAAGGTCAACTAAAATCAGAGAAGATTCAGCACTATCAGAAAGTGCCAACGCAAAATGGCTATAAAATTTAGGTATTTGAGTCTGTTTGAGGTATGTGCAGTGTAGACATTTAATATGACTTTCTTTAGCATTAACCGGTGAAAAAAAAAACTAAGCTTACAGATATTTATTAGGTTTGAAGTGTTACAAAGGCAAATGTTTCTGTGGTGGGTATACTTGACACATTTGTTTAAAGACTTCACTTGTTGGGTGTTTATTTTGAAGATCGTACTGCACAAAATTTGCCTACCCCTTTCAGACATACAGGAGCCTGATGTATAAAAACTTCTTTCTTGGTTACATTTGTGTTTAGGACAAAAATCAAAGAACTCTTTCTTATTGGTGATTAAACATAGTTATTTTAAAAGCTCTACAGATATCTTCCATTTTCTAACAGTTGCTCTCTTGGGGAAGCTTACATTGATGGGCATCTGCAAGTCATTTTAAGGTTGTGGCTTTTTTTTTCCTTTTTTGGTCAGCTTTAGGTAACAGTATCAGTTAAATCTATTTGTAATTTTATCTAAAATTAGATTTAACTAATTCTAACATTTTAATAATAATAAAAAAAAAATCAATAAGAATGATAGTTACATATGGCTTAATTCACCAACCCAACACACAAAGATAAGAATCTTCAATTTAGCAGTGTGATTGTAATTTTCAAATTTCATTGGACGCAGCTAAAAAGAAGAAAGCAAAACCTAATGTGTTTGAAAGTGAAGCCTGGTATTGTTTTTTTTTTTTTAGCAGGCTATCATGTAAAAGTGAGCCATGCAGTTGAAGTGATCCATGCAGCTTTCCTGCAACTACGGGTTGCAGAAAAGAAAATCATTCAATTCCCTTATTATCACAGTTAGTGTTGTTGGGGAATCCCTGCCACAGAGTTGTGTTCGGGGGGGGTGGAGGTTGTATGGGGTGCAGAGAGCCATCCTTGCCAGGAGAACACAGTTCGCTGGCAATAATTGCATGTAAAATTTTGCATTTCTGGTTGTACCCCAATCAGCCTGCCCCCTCCTGAACCAGCCAAGATTAGAACCATCTACGACCTGGCTTAACACAACTTCCCCCCTACCCCCTGGGATCACAGTAAATGCTTTCAGGATGTTGAGCGGGAGAAGCTTGGAAACCTTTCCCAATCTCGTCTGCAATGAACGCAGGCGCAATGAACTTTTAGCCACTTCCAGGTTTCAGAGCTGGCATTCCCTGCCTGCAGCTTGGTTAGTTGCAGTGAGGGCAGGGACCCCTGATACCTCCATAAAGAAAAAACTGTCACCTTCCCATTATATCACATATGGGGCTGGTTAGCCCCTTGAGACAGCAATGAAGTTAGAGGTTTCTAAAATGTCTCCAACTTTGGGTAGCATACTTGTTGCTCTTTCATGGGTGCAAACTATTTTATATTTTAGAAAAAAAAAAATGAGTATTATATTGTGTTTTGTGTGTACTAAAATTCATTCAAATTTGATAAACAGTTGCACAAATATGTGAAACAATTGCAACTGTCACCATTTTATTCTACATGACTTCTGCTTTCAGAAAATATAGAATTCTTTAGATTTAAAATAATTTTCTGGCAAAGAATGCAGATTATAACATGAACGCGCAAAATTAAAAAAAATGCCCCTGGTAGAGAAGTGGATTTGAGGAGTGCTGCAAAATGTGTTTTTTTTTTTTTTTTGTTTAGTACCACAAAAAAATGTCCAGAATAGCTAGCACTTCAGACATGATATAGACCAGTCGTTTTGTCTTTTATAACCTGTCATCAAATCTGCAACTTCATGTATAGTCCTAATAACATTACGCAGGGATGGATTTTTTTTACTAGCTTTTAAATGGATTCTTTATGCAATATCTGAACTTGAATTTATATGAATAATCATTAAAGGAACATCTGTCTTTCATCAAGGTTATTAGAGAAAATCAATAGGAGTCAACGTATGTTTTCTTTTCCTTCACAAGCTAAAACCGCTTATGAATTTGAAAGCAAACACACACACTAATACATATATGTGTGCGTGTATTTACATCAAAATGAAGTCTATTTTATTTGAAGGAATGTCAAGAAACAGTGTCCCTAGACATTACTTTGTGTGGAGATATATATATATATATATATATATATATATATATATATATATATATATATTTAGAGAGAGCGAGATTTGTCTTCCAAAATGTCTCTAGATGCAACATTCTTGGATAAATTAACAGTGACCTAATAAAACTCCCTAAATTCTAATTAAAACAAACAGAAAATACAGTATAATTAAACAGATCGTCTTCTAGCACTTCCTGCCACAAAAGGAAAGACATAAAGAAGGAATGTTAAGTTTCTAGGCATTAACTATATGCACATTGTATGGTAGTAGTTAACCACTGTTTGACAGAGGAATGTCACATGGCATGATGATTGGCTTGAAATTTGAGTCACAGAATTATTCTTAAGTCAACATTTTCTGTAGTTTCATTATTCTATACAAGTTTACTTAAACATGTATATAACCTTTTCTGAACATTAAGACAGAGTATATATTTACCTTGAGTAAATTAAATCAGCAGGGACTAAAGGAAAGTTATAGTGGTGGGCTATAGAAATCAGAGAAAGACAAAATATTAGAATATAACTTCTGAGAAAATAAGTAAATTCTCATTATAAAAAAAAAACCCATAGATGCCTGGTGTCCAAACACGGGTCCTACTAGCCCCCCTGTATTTGGCCGTTTGAGTGTTGGATACCAGACCAGCTCCCATTGTTGTCAATGTACAGACTGCTGATCTATACCTGCATACTGACTACAGAAAAGTCAGCCACAGCCCAGAGGCAATTTCTAAGTGTGATGAACAATACAGGCTGCCACTTGGAGCTCGGCTTCATGTACAGCCCTCATCACTTGGCATGTTAGTCCTGCTCTTCTGGAAATGGAGTGCTGAAAAACTTGATGAAGTTTAAAGAAAAAAAAGGATAACAAAATGTGAGTTTCTTTACATTTAATGTGAAAATTGAAATTGATGGTTGTAAATGCAAAACTGCTCTATGGTCCTACACATCTTTGTAGTACATTACTGTATGCACATTATTGTGCATTGCATTAAGGCAGCCCATTCAGTTTAACAGGCTTGGCAGCGTTCCTTATACACACAAAAAGCACATGATTTACTGGTGCCAATCAGTCAATAGCACCGCAACACACCCAGTGTTGCATGCATTACTATGTATTGTGAGAATGTAGAGAAAAACATGCATTTGCCATGCAAATGTTTTATAATAACTTATTATGCAGCCCTACGGACAATCCTATGTACTAAGAGGACCACCACTGCCATAGACTTTGGTTATTGGTGATATATGATGCCAGTGAATATCAATGTATATACACTTTTTTCTTGTCTCATCACAGACTCCTCCAGCCAAATACACGTCTGCAAAGAATGTAGCTGGGAAACAGTGACTATGTAGTTAGCACTTCTGCCTTGCAGCACTAGGGTCCTCAGTTTGAACCTCAACCACGGCACTATCTGCCTGCAGTTTGCATGTTCTCTCTGTGCCTATGTGGGTTTCCCCCGGCTATTCCTGTTTTCTCCCATACTCCAAAAACATGCTGGTGTCTAAATTGGCTAAATCGACCCTAGTATGTGTATGTATGAATGAATGAATGTGAGTTAGGGAACATAGATTGTATGTTTCTTGAGGGCAAGGACTGATGTTGTGTAATAATAAAATATGTAAAGCGCTGCATAAATTGGTGGCACTACGCAGATATATGTAATAAATATCAGGGAATGGTTTGCTGTAAATGGTCATAGAAAAAGGATTCTTTACATAAAAGGTGACAGCACTGCTTGGTATAAAGCCACATTATTTCTGTCATGGCACAAAAGGATTAATCCAGGATCTTGGGAAGCGGAGATGCTTAATTTCTCTAAGAAGCCAGCAGATTCAATAATCTTTTTAATGAATTTTGGGTGAATTGACCTTTTGTAATCCATGGGAATGGAGGCCGCACCTTTTCTCCCTCTCTCGAATACCCAAAATATAACTATCTATATAAATAGACACACACAATCTTTAATGGCAAAATTTTGGCCTCAGCACTTTATAGGTTTAAATAAACAATAATAAATATTATAAATAATTAATAATCAAGTTTATACTTCTCTTATCAAATAACAATCAAATAGCTCAGTCATTAAGGACTCTAGCTCAAACTGAATAAATATAACAACAGTTCCCCCTTTAAATGTAAAGGGTGACAATACCACATAACGTGCCTTGCGACAAAAAGGGGAGGGGGGGGAGGGAGCTTGTTGCACTGACACGGAACAGCTGGCAATCTCCTGCCGATGAGCTCCTATATATAAATATATAATGAGCCCCACTTTCTAGAACTTTCCACTAGTCATGTGACCTTCTGGAATTTTTCCCAGGTCACGTGCTGCTTGTTTTCCCACCCAAACTCTTTAAAAAAATTTAAAGGCACAGTAACCTTATATATATGTACTATATACATATCTTTTTTTTTTTACTGAAAAGAGGGAGGGGAGGCCGCCTACCCATGTTATTGGGCCGAAATGATTGAGCTCTCTTAATGCATTACTTAGTTACCCATATACAAGATTATGGTCATATTGAACATTTGTTTGTACTTTTGAAGCAAAGCACATAGGATGTGAATATGGAACAAAGCTTTACTATTATCAAGTGGTAGACACAATGGAACAGAAACAAATAATCCTCAAGTGTGGCCACCTAACCTTCTTTAAATATCACGTGTAGTTGCCATTCAGCCCAAAGAAGTGATTGTGCTGCTTAAAAACTAGACTGATAAAAGTGCAGTTTGACATTTATCCAATATACCACAATTCAATAGGCAGCATTCTAAAGAATATCACAAGACGGCAGCAAACTGTGTTGATAGGATAAATTTGCTGGGGATTCATCTGGCTCAGCCAACTATTTGCACTCTCCCAGGCTCAGTATGAAATGTAGGTTCACACAAACACAGAAGCCAGCATGAGAGCCAAGAGCTACTAGTTGTATTCCAATGTGTTTTGTCGCTCCTGCTTTAGTATCAGTAACAGGACAACCTGCATATGGCTTTGTATAGCTGTAAATCAGTAATGATTTTTGCTTTATGTTCAGACTAGATTTGTTTGTTTGTACAGATCTGTCAATATGTAGCATTCACAACTCCAGTTATCTTTGTTTTAATTTTTTATGAAACACTGCTGTGGCTGGTTCTGATCTGTTACAGCTATAGGTTAACCTTGCTTTCGAATGGCAAACGTTGCTTGCAAAAATAAATTCTAGGTACTTAATCTTGATGAATGTGTAAACAAAATTGTTTTTAAATGAGTTCAAACATACTTTTATCAAGATCCTATGGTATTGTGTGTTGGATCATAACATGCTCATATAGAAAAACTTGGAAACGGAGATCCTGTTTTCATTTTCCATTGTTTATGCTGCTCAGATTGCATCCGTGACATACTACCAAACAAATACCTTATTTTTTTGTCCAGGTTTCACTCTTGTTTTTTCCTAACACGCTAGATGGCTTCCTCCTGACAGGCAAAGCTCGTAAACTGCAGGGCATAAGTCAGGGGAAATCGCTATTACAGTGTGCGCTCAGTCCAACAAAGGAATTTGCCACTTGTTAAAGATGTACAGCACTTTTAATGTATACAACATAGGTCATGAAATAATTCATGAAAAATATGCAAGAGACATACAGTACATTCAGTACTACCGTGTTAGATGGAAAAGGAAACAGTATGCAGAGAATGTAACAGATTTGGCATGGACAGCAATTTGTGCAAGATATACATTTAAAACATTACAGCTGTAGCTATTTCCACGTAAACATGAATTAAACCAAAAAGCTACAGATATTTCTCAGTTAGGCCCATTCACACCAGATGTGCAGAGCTGCGCTGGGGAGCCTTGCTCAATGCAATACCAAGGCAAAGAAAAGGCAAGAAGCTTTGTTACCCATTATGTCTGTTCACACCACTGAAGTGTTGCGCAATTAAATGAAGAATGGCATGTAGTAATTGTTTTCAGAGTAGCATAGGGTAATGCAATTCACTGCATTGCAACCCAGTTCAGCCCATAGCAGCTTGTTTAAAGTACCAGTCAGCATTCTCATTGCGTTTTACATTTCCAAACTGGAGCCGAATGGTACTAAAAATGGTTCAGAAAATTTGTATGAAAGCTAGGCAAATGTAAAAGCTTGGTGTACACACTGCTCTTATACAAGGTGATGTGTATATTAAGAAATCTTAAGGGCCACATTTTTATATATACAATTAAGTCACTAGCAGCATGCAGAATTACTGAAATTAAACTCCCATTAAAACTAGTAGAAGCCATTTAGTTACTGCCCAAAACATTGCTGAAAATCAAATCACTAGCATCGGAGTAGCCATATTCCTGGTCCAGGTAGTGAGAATGCAGAACTGCAGTTGACTAGCTGTAATCGCTGACCTAGAACAAGTATGCCAAGGAAAATCAAGTCATTTTCTGCATATTTGTTACAGGTAAGTGACTCAAAGTGCTGAAGCAGGAGAATCAGCTTCACACGAAGGCAATCTTCAAAAGAAGTAGTCTAATATATATTGTAAGGGAGACAGGCTCAACTGGTATTGGCAGCGTTAAACCATAAAGACACCCAGGAACAGTTTAAGCAGGTTTGTCCTGCACCTTTATTTAGCAGGGAAGCCAACACAAAGGCCTGTGGACAGCTGAGACTAATAATGAAGTGTGGCTACCAGGTAAGATGTGGACTTAGGAATGGAACTTTTATCCTATACAAAGGCTCTACAAAGCCTTCAGGCTCCAGGACCCAGAACATGACTTATTTTCTCTATGTCAATCATGGAGCTCCTCAGCATGTGCAAACTATGAGAAAATTAGCAGACGCATACACTGTCCACAATCCTCCCAGTGCTTCACAATATACTATATATTACATTTTTAATGCATTTCATCCTGAAGTGTTGTTTTTTTTTTTAAGCATTTGGAGTAATGTTAATTTTACAGTCAAGTTTTAAAAAGTTACTATTTTCTTAATGGTTAACTCCAGCTAAAACATAGAACAAAGTGAGAAGAGGCTGAAAACTTTTGGTTTTTATCACACTGCCCCTGTTGGGGACATTTTCCTTCACTTTCTATGTTGGTGACACCTTGTCACATAGGGTATCAGTAAAACAAGCAAGGTGTTTAAGACAGCCTTAAAAACCTGGTGTGGCTGTATGTCATCTCCCCTCTAGCTTTAACAACTGTTTCTGGAGAGATTTAGTGTCCCCAGTGACTGGGAGAAAAAGTGTGAAAAATCTCCTGATGGAAATACAAACAGCGGGGAAAAAGCCAAATAGTTTTGGTTGGGCTTGGGCTTTAAAGGTAAATGTCAGATATATGGTCTGGAAATCACTTACTAATAAAATGTACTCTTTCCCTTGCAGACATACTGTGACATGAAAACTGGAGGAGGTGGCTGGACTGTTATTCAGAAACGCTTTGATGGCAGTGTTGACTTTCACAGAACATGGAAAGACTACAAAAAGGTATCAACTGCTAGGCCATGCAGTTAAAAAAAAACAAAAAAAAAAACACTAAATCTAAGCCTTCATTATGGAGAGTAGATACCAATATCTGCTTAATTAGACACTACACTACACAGAGTGATTTCTTTGTGACACTGCAGAAAAAAAACTGCAAAACAGATCTTTTTAAAATACAGCACTGAGCTTCATAACTGTGTTTTTTTAAACCAGTAAAATTGCTTCTGTAAGGCCATAATGCTTTTTTTGTGTTGACCACAGTAAACAGGAACACGCCTTAAAGTTAAAAAGCACATATGCTATATTGTAAAAAGTATTGGGACACCTACCTTTAAACGCACCTGAACTTTAATGGCATCCCAGTCTTAGTCTATAGGGTTCAATATTGAGTTGGCCCACCCTCTCCAGCTACAACTTCAACGCTTCTGGGAAGGCTGTCCACAAGGTTTAGTAGTGTGTCTATGGGAATGTTGGACCATTCTTCCAGAAGCTTATTTGTGAGGTCAGACACTGATGTCGGATGAGAAGGCCTGGCTCGCAGTCTCCGCTCTAATTCATCCCAAAGGTGTTCTATCGGGTTGAGGTCAGGACTCGGTCTATGGAGGCCAGTCAAGTTACTCCACACCCCAAACTTGCTCATCCATGACTTTATGGACCCTGCTTTGTGCACTGGTGCTCAATCATGTTGACAAGGAATGGGCCATCCCCAAACTGTTCTCACAAAGTTGGGACCATGAAATTTTCCAAAATGTCCTCATATGCTGACTCCTTAACAGTTCCCTTCAATGGAACTAAGGGGCCAAGCCCAACCCCTGAAAAAGCAACCCACACCATAATCCCCCCTCCAGCAAACTTTACACTTGGCACAATGCAGTCAAGTACTGTTCTCCTGGCAACCACCAAACCTAAACATATCCATCAGACTGCCAGACAGAAAAGCGTAAATTCGTCGCTCAAGAGAACACATCTCCACTGCTCTAGAGTCCAGTGACGGCGTGCTTTACACCACTGTATCCGATGCTTTGCATTGCACTTGGTGATTTAAGGCTTGCATGCACCTGCTTGACCATGGAAACCCATTCCGTGAAGCTTTCTATGCACTATTGTGCTAATGTGAAAGTCACACGAAGTTTGGAGGTGATTAGTTATTGACTCTGCAGACAGTTGGCGACTTCTGCGCACTGTGCACTTCAGCATGTGCTGACCCTGCTCTGTCATTTTACATGGCCCACCACTTGGTGGCTGAGTTGCTGACATTCCCAGTTGCCTCTACTTTATTATAATACCGCTAACAGTTGAACGTGTAATATTTAGTAGCAAGGAAATTTCACGGATGGACTTATTGCACAGGTGGCAACCTATCACTGTGCCACACTTGAATTCACTGAGCTCCTTAGAGTGACCCATTCTTTCACAAATGTTTGTAGAAGCAGTCTGCATGCCTAGGTGCTTGATTTTATACACCTGTGGCTATGGAGGTGATTGGAACACCTGAATCCAAAGAATTGGAGGGGTGTCCCAATACTTTTCGCAATATAGTGTATAAGTGCAGGATGCACATGGATGGTGGGGATGCCACAGCACAAAATTGAATCTCTTTTTCTCTGGAAGTTGTGTCTCTAGAAACACTCAGAAAATAATTTGGTATTGTTATGAGCAGATATTAAAATTTAGATATAATTTCTAGCCTTTTTATAATTGAATGCCCTTTGTTTCATAGGGTTTTGGTGATCCTTCAGGAGAATACTGGTTAGGAAATGAACTAGTCTCCCAACTTACAAATATGCAGCGATATGTTCTCAAGATCCAGCTGAAAGACTGGGAAGGAAATGAAGCTTATTCACTATATGACCAATTTTACTTAGGAACCGAAGCACAGAAATATAGGTAAGTTATTTGCGCTCCACCAACAAATGATAAAAATCACAAACAGCACAGATTACTTAACAACTCAACAAAATGTACTCAAGACATTGGATTACAACTGTTCAATCTCTATTTTTTAACCATGTTTGATAATGGCCTGACTGCCAGTTGTCAGCTGCAGGCAAACTACAAAGAGCCCCTGTTGCCCCTGCTGCCATGTTAACCAGTGTTACATCGTCACATATTATATATATATATATATATATATACACACACATACATATATATATATATATATATACACACATATATATATATATATATATATATATATATATACATATATATATATATATATATATATATACACATACATACACAGTATTTTAGTAAGGAAAATTCCTGACCAGAGTATGTCTTTGCCAGAAAGCTAATAGTGATCTCTATCATCGTCTCTCTCTTTGATAGAACACTTTCTATATACACTAGTCATGTGTTTTCACTGATACTACCAGAACTGTTTCCGTAATCCCTCTAAAGTTTGTGATTTCTGATTGGAGATTAGACCCTCTGAAATGGAGCTCAGCCATATGTATATTTTAACTGCATGGGTGATGGTAGCAATGCCCCCACAGCTAAAGTTATTTTTTATTGTAATATCTCTTAATTTAAATGGCAGTCTGAATCCAGTAACCATAGCAATGGCAACAGAGCATGTTCCTTTTCTAAATTTATTAGCTAGCCAAATTTGCTGAACTGGGTATGGTAATTTCCTTTAAGTCACATCATTCGTAATATATACAGCATACAGACTGTACACATCTTGGGTGCTTGAGATATCTTGCTAATTATATACTGGTAATTTGCTGTCCACCCACTATCCAGTGATCTCCAGATGCGGCCCTTTGATTGTCTTTATCCGGCCCTTGGGGCACTATTAATCCCATTAATAAGAGACACTATTCTGCTCACTAAAACCAACATTGGGGCATAATTCCTACCACTGACACCAACAATGGGGCACTATTTCTCCCCCAAATACCAAAGAAAGGGCACAGTTTACTCCCAGTAAATCCCAAAAAATTTTTTATTCCTGCCACAGTCCAGCCCCCCTAAAGTCTGAAGGACAGGAAACTGGCCCTTTAGCTTAGAAGTTTTGGAGACCCCTGAACAAAGCCATAGTATGTATATTTACATTTATGATATACAGTATTGATAAAATTAAATATATAGTCAGACATTCATTAATTATAGTTATAGCTAGTCACTTATAAACTGACAGAGGAAACATATTTGCAGGATTACTGCACATCCAATGTATCACTTTGGAAGGCAGTAACATTTAAATGTCTTCAGTCCAAACTAAATATTTTTATCATTTGGTTCAAGTTATAACTTATTATTATATTTTTATAAAGCAAGACATTTAAGTATTTCAGGGAGCAAAGGACACTAATGGGTCATTTCCATCATCCAATAGCAATGAGCCAAAGTAAATGCCACAGATTAAGCTGCTAAGACGGCATTTCCTCTTGAAATGTAAGCAGATATGCAATACATCTTAAAAGAGGAGTTTAAAAATAGCTGTATCTCTCTATATTACAATGAGATATGTCCACGAACACTGGTAGGGGAAAACAGAGAGAGGAATTCATCCTTAGAAACAAACATCGCCTATATGTAAAGATACATTTGGCTAAACCCTTGAGAATGAAAATAGAGTAGAAGGGAAAAAATGATCTGCTTCAACTTGAACACCAAAGAAAGAATAAGATTGTTATAACACAATTTAAATGAACCGAATGATCATACCAAGATATTTTCCCTTAGATAACTTTACAATGTCCCAGCTGTGTATGATTTCTTATAGTTGGAACTTTGCCTTGGATTTTGATGTTGATCAATGGGGTATTACTGTAGTCAGCAGTAACTAAAACAAAGGCTTGACAATGCACACAGCAACTGCTCAGACAAAAAGAAAGGGTAAGACTAGGCCTGGAAAAACCTCACCCAGAATTCATAGTTTTTTTTACATAATTTTCTTTGTACAGTTTTCACTCATAGTCATATGCAGATTGCATAGTGCTGGCTCCTAGGTTTTTGAGACCTCATTCAAACAGCTGCTTAGGGCTGTACACTGTTAATCAGCGTATTTGCTTGGGTATTACTAGTGTTTGTGATCAGCCATGCCCAGAAAGCCTGTACAAATGAATGACAGGCTTAAAAGTACCACAGCAGTCCACATGTAAACGCATGTCAATTGGCAGGGTACAGCCCTATTTGGCCACAAAAAACGAGCCCTTCAAAACCTGGTCAGCATGTTTGGCAGCAGTCAAAAGGAAAACATTTTGGCATTAGCAATTTTGAAGAGACTTTTTTGAACAAACAAAATTAAAGAACCCACTAATATTTTACCAGAACACCATCTTTAAACCATACATACCATTAAATAGAAAGTGTCAAATGTTCCCACAGCTTGCTTGAATTGTGTTGTGAGAGACAGGCACTGTTACCACAATTACCACAAACAAGTCTTGGTCCTGGAGCTGACAAATGTGGTCTTGAAAAGGAGGAGAGAGCACATGTGCATGGGGTGTTCACCAGCATGCTGATTTAGCTATTGCTAATGGCTATCAGGAGGTAAATCTGGCAGTTTTGACAGCCGAAAATGCTTGAGAAAGATTGAGCTATGTACACCTCTCACTCACAGGAGGCAAGAGCTCAGTCTCAAGCAACATTGACTGTCAATATAGTCACATTACATTACCCTGGCATTTCAGTCAGAAATAGCTCTCAATTACCTGGTCCTCAGAGTTTTTATTTCAAGTCTTTATGGCAATCAACAACTCTCCCCAGGCTAAATGTCCCACTGCCTAAAAATAGGGCTCATTTTTCAGTCTCTTTATATATCTAGACTGCTTTATTGCACAACTCTAGTCAAAACATGTGGACTGCCCTAGGTGTCACCCACATGTGATGTTGAGCCACCACGAAAAAAATAACTGAAATCCAATAAATTAAAAGGGATGGGCCAGGGAAAATAAAGCTAAAGATTAAAGAGCTAGATGATGCTGGAAATTCTCCAGCATGGAAATGAGCTGGGCTGTATCTGACTTGCTGCAACGAGCAGGGCCTTCCGTTTCCTCTTGTACCAAACTGTATTGTAACTAATATCTACCTAATTTTGTAAAGTGCGGCACAAACTGTTGGCACTATATAAATCCTGTATAATAATAATACATAATGTGAGAAGCTCACAATGTAAATTGAAACTAGAGTAGGCAATTTCAGTACATTGGTGCAAAAGATAAGGTTGGAGCTCAGCATTAAACATAAATGCTACTATTCTTCTTTTAGATACAACAGTCAAGCTGAGGTGAAAAAATTATCTATTACAACAATCACAAAAAAAAAAAAAAATCCCAAACCAACTAAAAGCAAATAGGAATTTTTCATTGGTTGGTTTAAATGCGGTTTCAATATGACAGGAGAAATACACATTCATATATGCATAGGTCTATAGGATTCAAGTAGGGGCAGAAGAGAACGCCACTGAAGAGAATAGGGACAACATTTACTGCAGATAATTTAATCTCCATAAACATAAATAAGCTCTTTAATGAGATTTAAAGGTGGTTTATGCTATGTTACCTATAAAAATTAAGAAAGGGTAAAGTAAACCTGTCTGTACAATAAAGGTACTGGACAGTTTCCAGATCTGCGAGCACATACTTTTACCCAGTTGCCCTTACGTACTAAGAGCTATAGCCAGCAAAATTTGAATAATTCCCAGTGTTCAGCACCTGCCCACTCCCAACACTATTCTTTCTCTAGGCTGAAAAAAGAAAACCTGTATTTAGAGGGTTAGTTCACCTTATCAAAAAACTGTCTGTGCAGATAAGGGGTGTCTGTAGTTTTAACTAAATTTGCACAATGCCCTTGCTATAGATGTGGGCTATTTGCTTACAGTACCTCCTGACGCCTGACTCGAAAACTCCCAGGACGTTGCTAAGGGAGGCTCAGCTATTACTGTTCATCATCACAGAAGTGAGCTCTTTCTCTGAATCAATCCTCCTCATGTGTGCTTACTCTCCACTTGTGCAGTAGCTCTGAGCTCAAAGTTTGAGAAATCACTCCTGTGATGATGAACAGTATAAGCTGGGTCTCCTTTAGCAATGTCCTGGAAGTTTTCCAGTTGGGATCCAGGAGGTTTTTATATAGCCCACACCTATAGCAGGGGCATTATTGAATTTTGGTCAAAGCTACACAGTTTTTTTTTATCTACAGATGCACCTTACCTGCATAGGCAGATTTTTGGTAAAGGTGAACTAACCCTTTAAAGTGACTGTGCTGCATTCACCTGCCAATCAATCAGAACAAACTAATGTTATGATAAACTGCTACCACAGGTCTGATCCACATATGTACGTTGATGTAAATCTTGGTCTTGCCAAACTGGAACAAACAGTCAAACCAAGATTTCTGGGAGCCTTATTCAAATTGTCAGCTATGCACAGAACACCTGGGGTATGACTGATGTCATATTCTGACGTTTTGAATAAAGCTCTCTGGAGCCTGGATTTGACTGTGTGTAGATCATTCTATTAGCTGTCAGAAAAGATGACAGACATGGAGGCAGTGTGATGTGAAAGAGGATATGACAGATGCTCCACAGCCCACTATTCTCCATACAAACCTACCTATCTTTAGCCAGCCTAAGACAAAGTCCCACATACTGTATCTTGGCCCTAAGCTTCGTACACACGTTTTACTTCATTCCACTCAAAAAAAAAAAAAAAAAAAAAAAAAAAAAAAAAAAGACTGACAGCTCAGGCAGAGCTGCTGTACTTAAAGCGGTTTCAACTTAGAAAATAAAATAAAAGTCAGCAGCTACAAAAACAGTAGCTGCTGACTTTTAAAATACAGACACTTACCTGTCCCTCGGTCCAGCGGTGTCCTCACCACCGCTTGTTTCACCGGCCGTCTTCTCTCCCTGGCGCCGGCATCTTCAGTGTGGGCACCTGGCTGTGACAGCTTGCAGCTTCGCAGCCAGGTGCCCACTGTGCATGCGTGAGAAATACTGCACTTTGTGAATGGCCCCGTAGTCTTCTGGGACCTGTCACGTGTCCCAGAAGACTACGGGGAGGGGGGGGGGAGGAGGACAACTACCACTTCCAATCGCCTAGGCAACCACATTGGAAGTCCAAGTGAGTACCTGTGAAATTTGGGTACCCGTTCCCCCCCTCTCCCCAAAAGGTACCAATCCTTAATGGGGAGTGGGGAACAAAGGCTTAAAGCAGAACTTCCCTTTTTGGGTGAAGCTCCACTTTAATGTCCGATGTTAGTACAGCGATCTGCCCTGCTGATTAGCTGACCTTTCGGTCATGGCCCTTCAACAGAAGCCAGCTGAATGTAGGCCAGATTCTATTGAACTGGTCGAGGCCATCCGAAATTTGGCCCATGTGTACTAGGCTATATTATCAGTCTGATATGACAAGAGTGCTGCTGGCCATAACACACGTGCTGGTCTCTTAAGAAAAAAAATTAAGGGGGATCAGTACTAATAAAAAAAAAAAAGTGCATTCAAGGCAAGTAGAGGTTTATTTTTTAAATTCCTAACTTTTTCCATGTTAAATGTCATTCCTCTCTCAAACCGACTAACATTTCATGAATGAATATAGCAACAGGATTACAGGAACAAACAGAATGAATATGAATCCAGACAAGGAAATCTTTACTTTGCACATGGTGATAGATTCTTTCCACTTATGTGAACCGGCAAAACACTTTACTTCCATCTCATCTTCTCTTTCCATTTTCAATTACCACAGGATTCACCTCAAAGGATATACTGGGACAGCGGGCAAAATAAACAGCATAAGCCAACCAGGAAATGATTTTAGCACAAAGGATGCAGACAATGACAAATGCATTTGTAAATGCTCGCAAATGGCGACAGGAGGTAGGAACTGTTCAATTTTATGGTCTTCCTATTTTTACTGGCACCTGCAGCATGTTATGTTATTTATTTGGAGCATTTCGACCTGACCGCAGCAACTTAAATTCTCGAGCAGAGAGCTAACGTGTTATGCAATCCCAACCATTAAAAGCAAAAGACTACAGAAAATTGTTAAGGAAAGTGCTCTTTTTTTTTTTTTAAAGCAACCAGATTGCTACAGTAAACATTAATTTATTGGCATCATGTAACATGTATTTTTCGCTCTGGCAGATAGCTAGTTATACCTTTAATTTCTTAGAGGGCTGCAATTACCACTATCTAAACATCTGGGAGTGTTGGATGTCTGGTTCCTCGCTGGGCAATGTAGTTCCCTCCCACCAACCCCTACCTCATTACTTTCTTCTGTATCGACATAGCGGCCGACACAACCAAAGTGTAAGATAGCAGTGATCCCTCTCTCTGCCTACAGCCTGCTCAGTGGATCAGGATCACTACTACTGTTCAGTGATCAAAGTCAAAGCAACAGTTTCACTGAATTTCCACCATCTTCAGCTGCACATACTCAGGCTCCCACAAAGCGCTGGTGATTGGCCACTCAATTCTTAAAGTTTCGATGTCCCTCTTTCATAATGCTTCCAGTTTTCAATCCCAATGACTGAGCAGAGCAATGGGGAAAGCAAAAAAAAGGGTGACAGTTAAATGTACTTGTTGCTTTGCCCTACATGGATAAAACATAGTTGTAAACCCTTACATATAGTCAGTGAAGTGACTAGCCTCAGGTGATACACATTGTTGAAACAAATCCTCCTACATAAGTTGTACCTGTCTATCTACAGCCATCTTTCCCCTACATCTATCCAAAGTGAAGAATTTATATAGAATCCCTCAGCTATGAAAAGCAGGGGGAGCGGAGCTGGACTTACATCAGTGAGAATTCTGAGAGCTGAAGGGACACCCCCCTTCACACAGGAAGAGAGCTGAGGCGATCTGCTGGAGGTCCCTCCCCTGTCACCGGTTTTCTCTTGGTGTCAGAAAAACTTGACAGAAGTGACTCATGCTTATAGAAGAGGAATGAAGCAGCAGACAGAAATGACACTTCGTATTCTGGATTGAGACATGCACACACTATAAAAGGGATAGGCTTTGTTCAAATTTCATGTCTGAGGTTTACAACCACTTTGATTTAATGGTATTACATTTCTGTACACCATTTTTGATTATGTCCTTTCTTACAGGTTGGTGGTTTGATGCCTGTGGCCCTTCAAACTTGAATGGAATGTATTATTCACTGGGGCAAAATACAAACAAATTCAATGGAATCAAATGGTACTACTGGAAAGGATCGGGGTACTCATTGAAAGCAACAACAATGATGATTCGACCTGTTGACTTTTAACTACCACAATAACATTTGGCTTATTGTGAAATAAAGACAATTACCAGAACACTGGAAAATATCTTAAGTGCCTCCATATTTTTTTTAAAAGGAACCCTATGGAATCATACTCTGGATAGTGGACCACTTTTGAGCTCTGCACAGTATTAAGATAAATAAATGTAAGGATTCCAAGAAAAAAACATGCAAACACAGATCAACAAGACTTAGAGGCAGCTCTTTGTACAGCTGGTCTTGCTGTGAATGACAATTATTCTAATGTTAATTGCTGGAACTGTGAAATACCTTATGCCTTTCTGCAGAGATACATGTGCCGTCTTTGTGGCATCCTACCTGCAAACCACTTTGTATTATGTTCTGTATTATGAGTTGTACATATGGTTGTAAATTAACTGTATACAGTCTTATTTTAATGATACACATATAAATAGGAGGGTGCCAGATTGTATCACGTACGGAATTTTTGAGTTATTATGACTGTTACTCATCGGAAACAGAAGCATGTAAAGACGTGTGCAGATACCACATGCTACCACGGTACGATTGCAGTTACAAATGGATCTAGAGTTCTTAGTATGCTTTGTACTACAGCTCCGTATCACAAAAAAAAAAAAGAGGTAAAAAGCACTCAAAATCAGATAAAAAGGGGCTAATATTACACATGCTCAAATTCAATATTTTCACATGCCCTCAGAAAGTATTGCTAAAATTATATTTATTGAGAATGCTTCCTGCTTTATGCTAAAATCCTTACTAAAACTTTAGATAACTAAACGTGTTCAGGACTGTTGTAAAAGCAATGCATATATATTACAACTTTAGTTTTCATCCTACATTAGCACAACACAACTATGTTACTTACATTTGTACAGGTGCCTAAACAGCTTGTAATGGACAATACAGAGACCAAGTTGGCTTTACTTTTACGCATTGAAAATGTGGTAAGTCAGAGTAAGGTTTATATGTATACATACCCTTCATATACACATATACCGAAGTTACAATTTTGGGGTTCATTTGCCCTTCCATTTCAATATGCACTACAATGTTCTAAAATATTTGCAACACTATTCAAAGTTACTGATACAAGCTGCCCTACATTGTAATTACAAGATGTAGAAACACCAACTCCTACCTTGAAAAATGTCACAAACTTTATTTTAGCAGAGGTATTATTCATCATGCTGAAGTGCAATTTAAGGATAGTAAAAGTAAAACATCCTGCTCTTTCAAAAAGTAGAGACTCTACTGTTTAACATAGATGGGTGATGTCATACAACATTTTCCTACTTCTTGACTCAGCGCTAAATATTAAGAATTGGTTCTTGATAATGGGTAAAGTCTAAATTCATATTCCTTATTCCTAAATTCCAACAAATTAGTGCTGAACTGCCTAAAAAGCTTAAATGAAAAAAAAACACGAATAAAAAAAAAACTTAAACACAAAATCCTTAAGGATTTCTCTTACCATAAATTGTTTACCAGTAATATAAATTATTTATTTTCCAATATTGTTAATCTGTTTCATAGCTTGAAATTTTGTTCATAAGACTTTTTCCTTTTTATACATAAGTCCTGTGTTTGACATTTTATAATGTATTAAACTGATTATTGGTTAATGGTATAGTTATCTTGTCTTTACTATCTGTATTTCACTTGATAACATCAGTCTGTAAACTAAGCCTTTTTTTTTTTTCTCACTTGGTCAGTCCAGTGTTCGTTAAGAGTTTAGATACTCCTGCATTTCATTCTTTTACTCATAACAATATCATATATAGTGTCTTCAAGCAGACAAGATGGATTCCAGATTCTAGTATAGTTAATTTCCTTTAAAGGGAATCTACTTTCTTTTTAATTTTTTTTTTGTTATGCAAGAAAATGCCAGCAGCTAACTGTAAGTAACCTTATCAAGTGGTAAAATGTTTTAGTTTACAAGATACCATATCTAGCTAGACATACACATACAATCTAGTTCAAGGCCTAATCAAAACTGGCAGACGTACAGAAAGCCAACAAGAGTTATCCTCATTAATATATGGAAATGTTAATGTCCTGTAAAAAAAAAATGATCAGCCTATTTAAAAAAAAAAATATATATATATATATATGTTTATTTAAATAATGTACCAAGTACAAACCATATGTGTATAGTTAAAAATTTATGAAAAGAAATTATGCAAATTTGTCATAGGATTATGTGTAGTTAACGGATGCAAGGCTATTTTCACCCAGGCATCTATGATCCCAGGTCACAATAGAATTAAAGCGAATCCATTATTAAACAATTAATTTGTCTAAATCAACAGGACACAAAGTATCTTCATTACAAAAAAACAGGGCTTTCTTGCTAATAAGAAAACCTGCAGTTCTGCAACTCTTAAACTACGCACAAACCATACTGTATTTTGCCCCCATGATCATTGTGATCCTTTACATGAGAGATTGCAGAACATAAACAGATTTCAGAGAAACAAGAGCAAGACACAAGACTAAGCAGAAAAGAAAGCATACAATGGATATAAAAAGTCTACACACTCCTGTTAAAATGTCAGGTTTCCGTGATGTAAAAAAATGAGAGAAAGATAAATCATTCAATCAGAACTTTTTCCACCTTTAATGTAACCTATAAACTGTACAACTCAGTTGAACAACAAACTGAAATCTTTTAGGTGGAGGGAAGTAAAATTAAACTAAAATAATATGGTTGCGTTAGTGTGCACACCCTTAAGTTAATACTTTGTTGAAGCACCTTTTGATTTTATTACAGCACTCAGTCTTTTTGGGTATGAGTCTCTCAGCATGGCACATCTTGACTCGGCAATATTTGCCCACTCTTCCTTGCAAAAACACTCCAAATCTGTTAAGATTTCAAGGGCATCTCCTGTGCACAGCCCTCTTCAGATCACCCCACAGATTTTTAATTGGATTCAGGTCTGGGTTCTGGCTGGGCCATTCCATAACTTTAATCTTCTTCTGGTGAAGCCATTCCTTTGTTGATTTGGATGTATGCTTTGGGTCGTTGTCATGCTGAAAGATGAAGTTCCTCTTCATGTTCAGCTTTCTAGCAGAAGTCTGAAGGTTTTGTGCCAATATTGACTGGCATTTGGAACTGTTCATACTTCCCTCTACCTTGACTAAGGCCCCAGTTCCAGCTGAAGAAAAACAGCCCCAAAGCATGATGCTGCCACCACCATGCTTTACTGTGTGTATGGTGTTCTTTTGGTGAAGTGCAATGCTGTTTTTGCAACAAACATATCTTTTGGAATTATGGCCAAAAGGTTCAACCTTGGTTTCATCAGACCATAACTCATTTAACCACATGCTTTTGGGAGACTTCAGATGTGTTTTTGCAAAATGTATCCGGACTTGGTTTTTTTCTTTGTAAGAAAAGGCTTTAGTCTTGCCACTCTACCCCATAGCCCAGCCATATGAAAAATACGGCAGATTGTTGCCACATGTACCACACAGTCAGTACTTGCCAGTTATTCCTGCAGCTCCTTTAATGTTGCTGTAGGCCTCCTGGCAGCCTCCCAGGCCAGTTTTCTTCTCGTCTTTTCATCAATTTTGGAGGGACGTCCAGTTCTTGGTAATGTCACTGTTGCTCCGTAATTTCTCCACTTGATGACTGTCTTCACTGTGTTCCATGGTATACCCAACGCCTTGGAAATTCTTTTGTACCCTTCTCCTGACTGATACCTTTTAACAATGAGATCCCTCTGATACTTTAGAAGCTCTCTGCGAACCACGGCTTTTGCTATAGGATATGACTAAGAAAATGTCAGGAAATACCTACTAGAACAGCTGAACTTTATTTGGGGTTAATCAGAGGCACTTTATTTGGGGTTAATCAGAGGCTTTATTTGGGGTTAATCAGATTTTATATATATATAAAATCTCTATATCATTCACAAATATAGCTGCCCCATTCAGCTTCTCAATTACAAAATATACAAAGAAAAAAGCCTTTCAAACCATTGACATGAATTGATATTATTTATATTACGCTCCGATTAAAGAAAATAAACAAAAAAGTTCCTCTTTAAAGCTTTCTGATCAGTCGGCATTTCGAGAATTTTGACCTTAAATAATCTAGTTATATACCTTTGAAGATGTGAATAAATGTTGATGCTTTCTGCTTCTTATTACTAGCCTGCTGAGAAGAAAGCAGCAAAACCTTCTTATCTTAATTTTAAAGTGGTTGTAAACCCTTACATATACCCAGTGATGTACTTCGCCTCAGGTGATTACACAGAGATGAAACAAATCTTCCTCCATATGTTGTACCTGTCTATCTGCAGGCCTCTCTCCTCTACAGCCATCTAAAACACACATTTTACACAACATCTCTGAGCTCTACCAAGCAAGGGTGGAGGTCTGATGTCACACATTGCAGAGCACATAGCAGGGAGCTGAATGTAAGCTGAAGCCTGAGTAGAAGGAAGAGCCAACTCCCTCACACAAATTCATAGAAATGTGCTGGAGCTCTTCCTCCCGTCTCCCCCAATCCCTTGAAATCTGAATCAGCTGTCAGCAGTGACTTGTGCAGAGATTATAGCAGGCAGGCAGCAGACAGAAATCAGTCAGTGCTTTAGATTGAGGCAAACACACGCTATAGAGGGATATGCTTTGTTCATTTTTCATGTGAGCGGTTTACAACCCCTTTAAGCAATATGATGCATATTTAAGTCAGCTTTAAGCAATATGATGCATAGTATTTATGCCTACAGGATTCACAATTGAGCTATATTTTCTTTCGAGTGATCTTTGTATATCCATATCAATATCATTGTGTGTGTGTGTGTGTGTGTTTGTGGGACATTAGAACGTACAAATTGCTGCAAAACAACCGTTAAAAAAAATGCAGCAAAACAGCCTGCCTAAGAAACAGAAAGGACATAAATGTTTTTTTTTTTTTAAATATAAACTGCAACATTTTTCATTTGCATAGGCATTGTAGGTTTTCATTTTATATAGAAATAGATCTCATCTAGGCCAATCAT